AATGGTGGCCACTAAACTGTATGTAAGGATCCCTGTGGGCAGCTAAGTGGCACATAGTGGATAGACCACCAGCCCTAGAGTCAGGAGTTCAAATCTGAACTCAGAGGCTTACTAGCTGTATGACCCTGAACAATTCACTTAATCCTGTTTGCCTCAGTTTCCTCATTTGTAAAATTATCTGGAGAAGGAAATGGCAAACCACTCCAGTATCTCCTCCAAGAAAACCCCAAATGGGGTCACAGAGAGTTGGACACCACCGAAAAGACTCAACAACAACAACAAGGATCCTGCAGCTGTAGATTGGCTTAGAAAACCACATATTAACACTGTCTATTTTCTATGGTATTTTTATTGATTTTATCAAGTATTTTCCAATTATATTTTCATCTGGTTCAGCCTGCACTCAGGAGTGTGGTGAGTCACATGGGGCCTTTGGGCTGCTGTTTGACGTCTTTGGTGTAGAACATTGTTTCAGAATGGATATTTAAAGAAACACTGGCAAGGTTTCTCATTTAAGTGGGTGCAAGGATTACAGATTAAAGCATTGTCCTAATATGATTTTGTAATATGTAGCTTAAAGAGGAAGCTGAGTGGGGGTGGATTGTCTTATTATGCTTTCACCCTTGGATGGTTTTTGACCACTTAGAAAAGAAAAAGGTAAATACTAGAATACAGTGTGGATTTTTAAGATCAAGTCAAACTTCTTTTCTTTTCTTTTTTTCCAGAGTTATTAGACTAGTCAAAGTAGGGAAATGCTATAAAGAGAGTACATCTGGATATTCACAAGGCATTTGATAAAGTTTGGCATGAAATTCGCATAGGTAAGATGTAATCATGTAGACTGGTTGTTATTGCAAGTGGGTTTTAAACTGGTTGAACTGCCACATCCAAGGAATGTTGATTATGGGATCTTTTTCAACAGGGAATGAGATCTTTAGTGGGAAAGACAGTCTTTAGTAGTGGGAGGAGTGTTGGAAGTAGAATCAAGAGACCTAAGTTCAAATCCCATCTGAAGAGATTACTGTGTGACCGTGGATAGTTTATTTAAACTCATTTTCCTAAATTACTAGCTATGTTGACCATGGGCATATTCCTTTTTTTTTTAAGAGTATAGAGCAGATATTGGACAGCTATTTATCTTCTTCCAATAAAATAAATGATTGAAAGAGCAGAAGATATGCAAATACACATTGACAAAGACAAAAACATTGTACTATAAATTTTCTTCTCACTGAATTAAAAAATACATTTTATTGATACATTTTATTTTTACAACCCTTACCTTTCCCATCGTGTCCCTTCTCTATCCCCCTCCCAGAGGACCATCCTTTGTAATAAATAACTTTTTTTAAAATGAAGAAAAAATACTCACCAATTTGGAAACGTATTAAAAACATGTGCTATTTTATTCAGTGTTTCCCATCATAGACATATTCTTAACTTTTCTGAGCCTCAGTTTCCTCCTTGTAAAATGGGGGAATAGTAATATCTGCTCTGTTTGTTGTTGTTGTTCAGTTGTCTTCAGTCATATCCAACTCATTTGGGGTTTTCTTGGCAAAGATACTAGAGTAGTTACCTCATTTGCGGTTTTATTGGCAAAGATACTAGAGTGGTTTGCCATTTCCTTCTCCAGCTCATTTTACAAATGAGGAAACTGAGGCAAACAGGGTCACACAGCTAGGAAGTGTCTGAGGCTGGATTTGAACTCACAAAGATGAGTCTTCCTGACTCCAGACTTGGCACTCAATCCACTGTGTCACTTAGCTGCCCTATCTGTTACATACTTAGATCTAAAAGTGAACCTCTTAGTGACCATCTAGTGCAGCCCTCTCATTTTATACATCAGGAAACAGAGGCCCCATAGAGGTTAAATTGCTTTTCTAATGTCACACAGCTAGTTAATAAGAGATCTGGGGATATTCTTCTTCTTTTTTTTTAATTTATGGAATAAAACAAGCATTTCCATAACATAGTATGATAAAAAAAGATGATTGCACATGAAACTACAAATCTATTATGTACAACTTGCTATTCCTTTTAAATATATAATAAAGTTATCATGTAAATTTCTTTTTTTTCCTTCCCTCAATTCCCCCCCCGCCCTACAGATGGCTACCATTAGACACAAATATGTGTGTATGTATATATATATATATAAAACGTGTGTGTGTGTGTATATATGTGTGTGTGTGTGTGTATATATATATATATATATATATAAAATCACTCTATACACACTTCTGTTTATCAGTTCTTTCTCTGGATGCAGATAGCGTCTTCCTTTATACGTCCTTTGTAGTTCATTTGAATATTTACAATTGTCAAAATGACTTAGTCGCTCAAAGTTGTTCTTAAAATAGTATTGCTGTTACTATATATAATGTTCTCTCGGTTCTACTCATTTTGCTCTTCATTATTTTGTGCAAGTCTGTCCATGTTTTTCTAAGACCATTGAGCTCATTATTTCTTATAACACAGTAATATTCCATCACAATCATATACCACAACTTTTTCAGTCATTCCTCAATTGCCAGGCATTACTGCAATTTCCAGTTCTTTGCCACCACAAAGAGAGCTGCTATAAATATTTTAGAACATATAGGTTCTTTTCATTTTCCCTAATCATCTTTAGAAACAGACCTAGTAGTGATATTGCTGGGTCAAAGGGCATAGGCAATTTAATAACTCTTTGGACATAATTCCAGATTGCTTTCCAAAATAGTTGGATCAGTTCACAATTCCACCAACAATGAATTAATGTCCCAATTTTTCCACATCCCCTCCAACATTTGTCACCTTCCCCGTCATTGATTTTAGCCTATCTGATAGGTATAAAATGATATCTCCAGGTTGTTTTAATTTGCATTTCTCTAATCAATATAGTTAGTTGAAACAATAATTTTAGCAAAGTATCAGAATATAAAGTAAATCCACAAATATTATCAACATTCCTATATCACTGATAAAACCCTACAAGAAGAGATAGTACAAGATACCTCATTTAAAATAACTCTAGACAGTATAAAACATACTACATAATTTTTATGGGCTTTTTAATGGGGCTGATGACTTTGTGCAACTCTGCCTCCCTTAAATTCAATTCACACACAAATCAAGACATCACCCCATGATGTCATTGGTCCTCTTCAAAAATGAAGGAGAAACAACAATATTTTAAGATTCTACAAGTCTATCTCTGGTTCTTCTGGTCTAGTTTAATGTGATATAAATTTTGACAAAGAGCTCTTGGAGACCACAAAGATATCTTAACCTAAAAGAACACCTCTCACTGAGAAATTTCAGACCCCATGGCAGGCCTGAGACTTTGAGGATCAGTATGCCATCCCCAAGTCATAACATACTAGGAATTTTAAAAAATCCATATAAAACTGCAAACTTCTGTTATATAAAGCTTGCTTTTCTTCTTAAATATATAATAAATTCAACAGGTAACTTTCAAAGCTGTCTTGTTTGTATAAACACTACATAGCAGCAACAAACCACCGACGGCTGCTACGCATGTGTACCCTATAGCTCACCTCCAAGGACTTGGTGCTCCCATAGACCAATTCTACTTCCTGAGACAAAGTGAGTCAGTTTCTCCAGGGAAATATCCAATAATAAAGCTTAGGTATAGTTCATGTTTAGCTTTTCTCAAATATAGGTAATAAGGTCCCCAACTCCCTCATGAGCACTCTGCGTACATGAATGACTTCCTTTTTTTCCCCTTTTTTTCTTCCCTTGATCCCCCCCCCAAGACGGTTACCATTAGACACAGATATGTATGTATATGCAAATTCTCTCTATACACACTTCTATTTATCAGTTCTTTCTCTGGATGCAAATAACATCTTCCCTCATAGGTCCTTTGCAGTTCATTTGGGTATTTATAATTGCCAAAATGACTTAGTCACTCAAGGTTGTTCTTAAAACAATGCTGCTGTTACTGTATACAATATTCTCTTGGTTCTGTTAATTTCACTCTTCATTATTCATCCATGTTTTTCTAAAATCATTGAGCTCATCATTTCTTTTTTTTTGGTGAGGTAATTGGGGTTAAAGTGACTTGCTCAGAGTCACACATCTAGTGAGTGTTACATGTCTGAGGCCAGAACTCAGGTCCTCCTAAATCCAGGGCCAATGCTGTATCCACTGTGCTATCTAGCTGCTCCAAGCTCATCATTTCTCATAGCACAGTAGTATTTTATTACTCTCACATACCACAACTTGCTCAGCTATTCCCTAATTGAAGGACATCACTTTATTATGTATTTAAAAACAATAGCAAGTTGTACATGATAGATTTGCAGCTTCATGTGCAATCATCTTTTTTTTCTATTCTACTATGTTATGGAAATTCTATTCTACTATGTTATGGAAATCATTAAAAATAAATGATTTTTTAAAAAAGATTTTAAAAAAACAATATGAGTATCAGATAGGGAGAAGCCTTTATCCCTTCCCCACTGAAAATGCATAGGACACAATGGGATCACAGGAGCCCATAAACAGACACAGACATATAACACACTCAAATAGCCCATTAGACTTTCCTCAGAAGGTAAGTACGTTTGGGGAGGGGGTGGATGCTGAATAAGTCACTTTCATCTCATGGACTTATACTGTCTGAATCACTTAGGCCTGTTGGCAGGTTTTGTAAGATCCAGAGCTTGCTTGGCCCCCACCTATGGGGTTTACTTACTCTTTCAGCTGCAGAATGATTGATCCTCTGTGGGTGTTTCTCTTCCTTCTCAGGAACTCTCAGATTTGAAATAAAAAGTCCAAGCCTCTTTCTACTTATATTAGCTAGGTGGTGCAATAAATTTCTATTCTACTGTTGGCCTTGGAGTCAGGGAAGACCTGAAATCAAATCCTTCTTAGACACTTAATAGCCATGTGACTCTAGGCAAGTCACTTAACCTCTCTGCCTCAGTTTCATCAACTGTAAAATGGGGATAATAGTGCCTACCTCACAGGGTTGTTACGACAATCTAATGCACTTTGCAAACTTTAGAGCCTTATATAAATACTAGCTATTATTGTATTACCTACTCCAGCAAGGGAGGCAAAAAGGGATAGAAGAACAAGCTTTTTTTAGAGACTCCTGACTCTCGGTCTCCACTTATTTTTAAGTCCTCTCTACTCACCAGAGTTGTTCCCTGTGAGGGAGTTCAATGAAGGGAGGTCCCTGTGTCCTCTCAGCAGAATTTCAGCGAGCTTGCCTATTTCCCAGGGGAGGATTCCCTCAAGTGCTTTCAGACAAAAGTGCACATCTAGAAATCTCAGCATGTTGATTAGGGAACCCTTTATCCTCTGCTCAACCCCTTTATTCCCTTACATGTTGTAGGGCTCATATGACACACAAATGCAAAGTACTTTTAAACTATAAAGTTTCATCTAAATGTCAGATACTGGAAATCAGAAGCCGCCCAAGGGGGATTTAGCCTGGCTCAGTCCGTACTTGTTCTATCCTTAGCAGGCTTCTTTGTTAAGCATCTGGCATGGTTCCAGAAGTATCTCCTCCATCCTGCATCTCTCACGTTCTTGGGCATGGAGTCGAATTGGAATACTCTGGAGAGCTCACTCTAGGATGGCAAATCTTGGGTTATCTTGTGGACTTGGCCTGGATGGAAGGGTGGATTGTCTCTGAAACCTCCTTGCAGTTAGCCGTTCTCTATACTGTAGTCGATCCTGGTGTGTACCTCGTACTTCCTCTGGCCACTTTGGATCAGCCTGAATTCCATAGGTATAGGCCAGGAATGGTTCCGATGTTTGGGTATGTCATCACAGTGGACAAATGGTTTCTTTGCCTTATCATGGAATCCCAGAGACTTCATAGATCATTTAGTACCTGAATAAAAGCAAGATAACAGAAAAACATAAAGACCTCCAGTGATGGGAAGCCCACTACTTCCTCAGGCAGCCCACACAAGTTTTTTTTTTAATCTTTTTTTTTTTCTTTTTTAGGCAATTGGGGTTAAGTGACTTGCTCAGGGTCACACAGCTAGTAAGAGTCAAGTGTTTGATCTGAGGCTGGACTTGAACTCAGGTCCTACTGACTTCAGCGCCAGTGCTCTATCCACTGTGCCACCTCGCTGCCCCCAGCCCACCCAACTGTTCACTGGTTCTGATTGTCAGGTAGCTTTCCCTATTGTCAGGAATCTGCCTTTTTATAACTTCCCATTTATCCTAGTTCTGCCTTCTGAGGTTAAGAAGAACAAGTTTGCTCTTCCTTGCATATGGCAGCCCCAGCTCTTTTCTATGTGTATCCAGAAAACACCTTTCCTCTACTATTCCTCTAAAGGACCCCAAAGAATCTTTGTCTCTGCCTTCAAGGAAATCTCTAGTAGAGAACTGGCTGAATTAGCTAGATATGTGCTCTAGGATTCAGAGCTTTGTTACTGGTCATCCAGCTATGACAATGAGAGTGATATTGGTCATCAAGCCAATTAGTCTGTCATCCTCATCTAAAAAGTCTCAGTCAAACTGAACAGCATAGATGTAGGGATCAGGTGTCAACCAGGGAACATTATGATACCAAGCTCTGTAAGGGCATTGATTATCCAACTTTCTAACGTAGAGATGTCCCTCATTCCTAGGGCTGGCCTTCCATTATAGAGGGAGCTGAAAAGTTCTCCATATGAAACTCAGACAAACAAGACAGCTTTGAAAGTTACCTGTTGAATTTATTATATATTTAAGAAGAAAAGCAAGCTTTATATAACAGAAGTTTACAGTTTTATATGGATTTTTTAAAATTCCTAGTATGTTATGACTTGGGGAAGGCATACTGATCCTCAAAGTCTCAGGCCTGCCATGGGGTCTGAAATTTCTCAGTGAGAGGTGTTCTTTTAGGTTAAGATGTCTTTGTGGTCTCCAAGAGCTCTTTGTCAAAATTTATATCACATTAAACTAGACCAGAAGAACCAGAGATAGACTTGTAGAATCTTAAAATATTGTTGTTTCTCCTTCATTTTTGAAGAGGACCAATGACATCATGGGGTGATGTCTTGATTTGTGTGTGAATTGAATTTAAGGGAGGCAGAGTTGCATAAGGTCATCAGCCCCATTCTATCTTTCAGAGTCATCAGAGTCAAGTGGCAAGACTAAAGTCAGGATGCCTGGCAATGGGCCAGGAAGCAGTGGATGACCTTGGCATCTTCCATGTCTGACTAAGGTCTAAGCATTCCACAGCACCTGCTTCAGACACCTTTATGGCCATTGGCACAAATTATTCTCACCCAGCTAGTCCACTGGATAAAGTTTTCACATGCTTGTAGTAGATATCCCCCTACCTCACCAACAGGGTTTGAGGCCCGTTAGTTGCCCTCAAATTAGTTTGGCCCATCTACCTGAGACAGTTTATCAAGGTGTGGCCGCTGCACATGCTACAGCTTCTTGGAGTCACAGGTGAGAGTTGAGTGCCAGGTGGATACGAAAAGTGGATGAACAGCCCTGAAAAGGGCTTAGCAAGCCTTCACATCGGAGGTGCTGGTCCACAAGAATCTTAAAATATTAGAGCTATAAGGAATAAGAGAAGGAGAGATGATAAGTTTCACAGATATTAACAGATAAGTGAAATAACACAAATAAGGCACCTTCCCCCTGCCCTAGAAAAGCAGTGGTTTAATGGATAGAGCATCTAACAGGAAGACCTGACTACACAAATCCTACTCCATTTACTACCCGTGTGACCCAGGGCAAGTCATTTGTCCTCTCTAGCTTCAGTGTCCTCATCTGTAAAGTGAAGGAGTTAGATTTGATAAGCTCTAAGACCCCTCCCAGATTTAAATCTATGATCCTGTGATCCCTCCAAAGTTAGGGACGGTATAAGACGGGTGTTTCATGGGAAAAATGGCAATCAGGCTTAGGAGGCCCATTCCAGCCGGGAAGGTCAAAAGAAGCCTTAAGAGATCATTGTAACCAGCAAGTCCATTCTCAAGTTCTGAACCATCAGAGGTTAATAATGTGTCACTGAGAATTCAATGGCACCTTTGGACAAGTCTCTAGCTCCTTTCTCCCCCTCCTTACTCCTGATGAACTCAGGTAAAACTCCTGCCCCAATGGAAATTCAATAAGAATTAGCCAACAGAAGATGTAAAGAAATTCACCCTTCATGAGGACAGGGAATAATGTCCCAGTGTTCAGTGGAAGGCAAGCTTCCAGATGTTTGCTTTGGTGGGTAGTTGATCCCTTCTTGTGGGGAAGGACAGGCAAGCTTCCTTGTATGCCTCAAGAACTAGTTTAAATGGACATGCTTTTAACATGGCCTGGTTGGGCTACACTTGTGTGAAAAATTACAAGAAAGCTAAATAATTGAATACCACGTAGCCTCTGCTTTGGAGCAGCTAGGTGGCACAGTGAACAGAACACCAAGTTTAGAGTCAGGAAGATCAGTTCAAATCCATACTCAGACACTTACTAGCTGTGTGACCCTGGGCAAGTCATTTAACCCTGTTTGCCTCAGTTTTCTTATCTGTAGAGTGAGTGGGAGAAGGAAATGGCTAACTACCCCCTTATCTTTGCCAAGAAAACCCCAAATGGGGTCACAAAGAGTCAGACACAACTGAAACAACTGAACAACAAGCCTCTGCTTTATCCTGTGTACAGTCATAGTAGAAAGATACAGAATCAGAAGTCCTTTGTCCAAATCTTATTACCCACATAAACTTGGGCAAGTCCCTTTAACTCTTTGGGCCTCAGTTTCCTCATCTGTAAAATGAGGGGGTTAGACCAAACATGTGGCTTGTCTTTCATTCTGGAAGAGGACCATGATATCAGGAAGATGATGATGTGACTTGCAACTAAATTGGATTTGAGTGAGGGAGGGCTGTGCGAACTCACCAAATACCAAACACCCTCCAGCTCAAGACCATATAATGCTACATAATACTTATTGCTTTCAGTGACCTTCAACACTTCAACTTGTTCTATGGGATAACTTGAAGATATGTGGGGGTGGGGTGAAGTGGAGTAGATAACAAGCTCTTTGAGGTAGCAGGGGTTCCTTGGGATAACAAGGAAAATGAGGCTGACACATACCAAAGGGTCAACTGCAAAATCCTTCACTCCCTAAGGATGACAGTCATGGTCAAACTCTAGACTTTCAGTTGGAGGAATGCAGATACCCGAGGAAAACTTCTGCTTCTCTCACTTGTTAAGTCAAATACTCCATGCATTCACTATATACTGAGATGGGAGCTCCCCCAATGAGAACCATGTGTTCTAGGTCAGGAAGACTTAGAGATTCACGTAATCTCACAATTGGGAGGATCCTCCTACCCCGTCTAGTCTAACCCATAGCTAAACAGGAACATCAAAAGGTCATCCAGACCTTCAATTTGAGGAAAACTCCTACCTCCCCAAGCAGCCCGTTCCACTGTAATTGTTAACAAATGTTTTCTTACGTGGAGCTAAAATCTGCCTTTCTGCAACCTCCATGCACATACCTTCCTGCCTCTGTCCTCAGACATCAAGCAGAACAAACCTAATCCCTCTTAAAAAATTTTTTTATTTGTTTTTAGTTTTCAACATTCACTTCTATAAGATTCTGAGTTCTCAATTTTCTCCCCCTCCCTCCACTTTCCCTTCCCCAAAATGACATGCAGTCTGATATAGGCTATACATGTACAATTATATTAAACATATTTCCTCATTAGTTGTGTTGTAAAGAAGAATTAGAACCAAAGGGAAAAAAACACAAGAAAGAAGAAACAAAAAAAAAAAAGAAGAGAGAGAGAGAGAGAAAATAATATGCTTTGATTTGCATTCAAACTTCATAGTTCTTTCTCTGGATGTGGATAGCATTTTCCATCATGAGTCTTTTGGAATTGTCTTAGATCCTTGTATTGCTGAGAAGAGTTAAGTCTATCAAAATTGGTCATCACACAATGTGGTTGTTATTGTGTACAATGTTCTCCTGGTTCTACTCACTTCACTCAGCATCAGTTCATTTAAGTCTTTCCAGGTTTTTCTGAAATCCGCCTGCTCATCATGTCTTATAGAACAATAGTATTCCATGACATTCATATACCACAACTTGTTCAGCCATTCCCCAATTGATGGGCATCCCCTCAATTTCCAATTCTTGGCCCCCACAAATTCCTCCTTTACATGTAAGACCATTAATTACTTGAAAACAGCAATCATTCGCTACGCTGCCCCCCCTTACCCCACTCCTAGTCTTAGGTTTAGAACTGGAAGGGACCTTGGATAATATCAGGTCTAACTCCCTCACTTTACAGATGAGGAAACTGAAGCCCAGAAAGGAAACTGAAGTCCAGCATCACACAGGTAGTAAACAACAAAGGCAAAATTTGAACTCAGGTCCTCTGACTCCAAAATCCACACCCTTCCCCTTCTCTTCTCCAGGCTAAACAGCCCCAGATTTTTTTAACCAATTCTCATTTGGAAAACCCTCCAGTCCTTTCACTACCTTAGCCATAGTCCCTTTATGTTTTCTACCCAGTGCTTAACATACTGCCTGGCACATAGTCAACACTTAATAAATGGTTATTGTATTGTATCATATCTTTTTCAGATGAGTAGTTTTTGAGTCATACTGCCTCCACCTTGTATTTTTGAAGTTGAATTTTTAAACCTGTATCAGAAATGACTTTTTTTTTTTTGTCTAGACCTATGATTTCATCAATATAAAGAAATGCTGGAATGAACATTTTCTTCAGAAATTCAGATGGGTGACTCATCTGTAACTTGCCGTTTTGGGCACACACGGTACATCATCTGCCCACCTGCATCGGTATATATCAGATGGAGGAATTCAACGTAAGTCTTTCTGACTCCAAAGCCAGCCTTTTATCCACTACACTATTAGATTAAATTTCATCTCATTAGATTTGACTCAGTGTTTTAATCTATCAAAACCTTTTTGGTTACCAACTCTTTCATTAGCCAGGGTTTCTCAAACTTTTTCCACTAGTGACCCCTTCCATTGTGTGGCATGAGGGCATGCGCAGTGCAAAGTATACGTGCTTTGTGTTCAGAACCAAAGCTGCAGTAAAATTGAGTGGTGCAACATGGGTAAGCATGAAACACTTCAGATTCATTATGCGTTTGATTTTGAATTAATTTTTGATCATTGCAAGTTCAGAAACTTTTTACTATTGCCAAATTTTTCACAACCCCATTATGAGGTCACGACCCACAGTTTAAGAAATGCTGCACTAGACATTAGCTACCCCCCTCCCACTTGGGGTCATCAGAAAATTTGACCAAAAGTTCACCTAAATCACCAATGAAAAAAAAAGGTTAAACAACATAGAGCCAAACACCGATCCCTTTGATGCTCCATCTCAATTAAAATCATCATCAAACTGTTTTCTCTTTGTATCTTACCTTTTAGACAATGCTGGATCTATCTAAATGTATTCTCATCTGACCTACATCTTTTTCATAAGAATGGCTTGAGAGCCTTTGTAAAGTGCTCTGCTGTGATCAAGGTGAATTTTATTTGCAATATTGTTCTCACCCGCAAGTCTAATAACTCTGTCAGAAAAGGAAAAGTTGTTAGTCTAGCAGGATGACATCATATTTGGCTCTGTGATCACTGATTCTCTTTCTAGATGTTTACTAACCATCCCTTAAATTATATGCCCCAGAGTTTTACTAGGAATTGAAGTCAACCTTACTGGCCTTTAGTTTGCAGATACTACTCTCTTCTCCCCGCCTTTTTTAAATTGAGACATTTGACCTTTCCCAGGCCTATGACACCTCTCCCCTTCTTAGAAACCTTTTAAAGATCATTGATGGTGGCTCAGCAATCCCATTCCTTAGTTCTTTCAATACCCTGAGATGCACCTTGATTGAGCCTGGTGATTTGAACTCTTCAAGGCTAACTAGATGCTTTCATCAATTCCTTACTTATCTTGGATTTCAACTTCCTATGGACCAGCTTTCTTGCCCTAACATCCAGGCCTAAGATCATTCTACATGAGAGAAAACAGAAACCAACTGCCTTCACTCTCTCTGTTTTCACTGTCCTAGCTACCCCAAGCAGTGATCCTTTCTCTTCCTTGAACCTTCTCTTTCCATAGTATAACTGTAAGAAATTTACCTTTTCTCCCCACACTCAGCTCATTCTGAGCAGTTGTACTCCTGACACTATTCTTATAGGACCATGCCATCCATTTGTTTTCATTCTCATTACTTGTGAATCCACAGGCAAATCCCTTTTTTCCTCCCCTTCAGAACTGTTTGTCTATCTTCAGAAATTTGAAGAATTTCCCATCTCTCCCAGGTTGGCATTCCCTGTAGAATTATAGCCATGGGATCCTACCTATCTCTGAACCCTTTGAAATAATTTCCTTTGAAATCTAGGCTGCGTGTCAGACTCAAGTCCTCTTCCATCTGTATCACAATCTCAAAAATGAAGCAGCTCCCTCCTCCCAAGGTTCCCATCATTTCTTCTTCAGCTCCTAATTCCTTCTTGGTGATGAGACTCAGTAGCAGCAACTCTGTTGGTTTTCCAACTTTTGAAAAACGAAATTATTCCTAAGGCAAGGCAAGAAATGATTAGCGGTCTCCCTCTTGACCAAGAGTGAACTCAGTGAGGTTCCTTTTCACTGCAATATTATACTTCTGCATTAGTCTTGTGATAAACTTCCTATACTTAACCTATTTCCTCTTTCTGTTCAGCTGGACAGTACATTATGTACCATGATAATAGCATCACTTCTATTTCTATATCAAAATGCTCTCCACCCTGCTTCCTCCCTCTGATTCCTGGATTTCCTCACATGATTATATCTTCTTAATATGTTCTCTTACTTGCTCCCCCGGCTTTAACTAGTCCTACTCATTTTGAATTAGCTAGAGGGAGCTGTATGTATGTATGTGTATGTGGGTCTTTATGGTAACTAGGCGGCACAGTGGATGGAGTACCAGGTCTAGAGTCAGGAAGACCTGAGTTCAAATCTAGCCTCAGACACAAACTGTGTGACCCTGAGCAAGTCACATAACTTCTGTTTGCCTCAGTTTCTTCATCTGTAAAATGAGGATAATAATAGCATCTCCCTCCCAGAATTGTTGCAAGTATTAAATGAGATAATAATTACAAAGCACGTGGTATCATGCCTAACGCATAGTATTTAAATGACATATCCTAATCATGATTCTGATCCCATCAAGTCTGGAGATACTTGTGAGGTCAAATTTATTTTATTGAATTAAGATTTCTAAATGTCCTTACTTGTTACTCACTACTAACTAGTAAAACCACTGAATTGTACAGGGCCAAACTCAGATCTTTCTGATACTCTATCCCAGTGGCGTCTAACTCAAATAGAAACAGGGGCCACAACAATCATACATAAACCATACATAAGGATTACTACGGACCCCATATTGACTTAGTTTTAAATGTGATATATCTACTTTTCATTGTGTTTTTATTTATTTTATTGAATATTTCCCAATTACATTTTAGTCTGGTTCGGGCCACCCTCAGGAGTGTTATGGGCCCCATGTGGCCCACAAGTTCTGTGTTGGATACCTCTGCTCTATCTCATTCCAAGTTAACATTTAACCATTTACTGGTTGGGTCTGGCTATTCAGGTAGTGCTGAACTCACTATATTTTGTGTATTTAGCTACCTGAGACCATAGGTTTTATTTCTGTCTTCCTTTCTGGACTTTGTCTCCTGTGAATTTCTGGACATCTCCACTGCTATTCTCACTATGTTGTAGCTACTTTCTGGGCTGTCTAGTCTGCTGAATGTGTATCATCTTTCCTTTTTCACTTTAAGATCCTTTTGACCAATAAAATCCTTTCCAAACACTACAGACATCTATTTCTGCTAATCCTTGTTATGAACAATTCACACTCCTACCCAAATCCATCATTCCTATAAAAGCTGCGGCCTAGAAATCCAAAGTCCATTCTCAGACAGTATCTTAACTCTATGCTCACTAACCGAATCTGTTTTTGTCTTCTGAAGCCCTTGCCCTTAATTAGCAACATCAGTTAAGATCCCCCCTATGTTCTGAAGGTCTTCAGTTTCTTGCCCAAGACTTCATAATCTTTATCAATATTTTCTAGATTCCTCTTTGCCGAATCACATGCATCTAATGTGAACCACCAGAAGCTTTTGACAAATCTTATGAGTGTTCATCACATCCTGGATACATGTCCCAGGAAGACATGTATCCTCCTGTTCTTCCTGCCTCAGTATCTCCAAGCAGAGAGACACCAGCCACTGCTTGTTTCATCTTTCACCCTTACCTGATGATCATCCTACCTGTTGGTACCTGTGAATCCACAGCATCATGTATCGGACAATAAACAGCTGCTTCCTCATTGAAGGGTCCATCTCCGTCTTCTTCATGAAAAGCCTCATCTTTATTACTTTGTTCTAGGTATTCAGCAATCCTTAATTTTCCCTTTAACCCTCTGTCACATTCTTCCATCCTCCAAATTCTTGACATAGGTTACAATCCCCTGGCCTCTCCCTTCAGAAACATTTCATTCCCTCTGATAAGATGAAAATCGAAGAGGTATTCTATAAGCTACTTTATTTAGCCTGTCTTTGAGAGAAAGCATGTCAGTGCCAGAAAGACTTGTGTTCAAGTTTGGTCTCTGACATCCTGGCTGTATGAGACCATGGACAAGTCGCTTAATCTCTCAGTATCAGTATCTAGACTCTTAAAGTGTAAGTTACAGAGAAGGTGACAACCTCCATGGGTACAGCGGATTTCCTTGTCCAGGAATTCTTTACATTAAGAGTTGCACGTTTAGTCCCTTTCCCTATTCTTTATTTTTTTCCTTTTTTTTTTTTCAGGCAGTTGGGGTTAAGTGACTTGCCCAGGGCCACACAGCTAGTAAGTGTCAAGTGTTTGGTCTGAGGTCGGATTTGAACTCAGGTTCTCCTGACTTCAGGGTCGGTACTCTATCCACTGCAACTCCTAGCTGCCCCTACCCTGTCCCTATTCTTGAGGAAGGGAGAACAACTTGTACTTTGAGTAGAGGTAACAATTATTTGCCGGTGGAGTCAGGGATTACTGATCATTGACACTAGGTGAGAGAGGACATTGAGAAGGGAATAGGAGAATACCAAAGACAACATCTGCTTATTTCCCATACCTAGGAGTAGCACTACCTATGTATTGTCCACTCACTGCCCTCTGATTTCCCTGAGTCCCATGACTAACCATATAAACAATTGGAGGTGGGAGAGAAGAATAAATGAATGAACCCATGCCTAGGGCTTAGGACCTGTAACATTCATATGTATTTTTTATAGTTCACTGGCAGCTAGGTGGCACAGTGTATATAATGTGGGGCCTGGAGTCAGGAAGACTCATCTTCCTGAGTTCAAATCTGGCCTGAGATACTTACTAGCTGTGTGACCCTGGGCAAGTCACTTAGCCCTGTTTGCTTTAGTTTCTTCATCTGTAAAATGAACTGGAGAAGGAAAATGCAAACCACTTCAGTATCTTTGCCAAGAAAACCCCAAGTGGAGTCACAGAGTCAGACAGGACTAAAACTATTAAATAACAACAAAAAGTCACCAGTTTTGGTATACAGCACACTGAATCCATATGTATTCATTCACTGATTTATTAATTTATTTAACAAGTATTTATTGATAGCTCATGAATTACAAAGAACTTCATAGTTTATAAATTGTTTTCCTCAGAGCAATTCTATGAGGTAGGCAGTGAAAGTATTACTATTATTATTATCATTTTTGTGAGCCAGGATAACAGTGGAATTGGGGAGATTTGATTTAACCCCCCATATTTGCACAACACCAGCTGGGATTATTGTGAGCAAAATTATGAAGTTGTTTGAGTTAATTTGCCCCTGGGTAAAATCTGAGATTTGGTTGTAGGCCCTTTGGGCAAGGAGGATTTAAAGCCAACACTGAGACTCTGGAGTGCTTAAGGCCTCAAAAAACTTCCCTGCTATTTGCTTTGAACTTCCTTGTTGGGGACTTCTACTTGCTTTTCTTTTTTACTACTGCTTTTTAACTACACTGGAGACCGTTTTTACTGGAGAGTATTTGAATATATTTTTATTAAATGGATTGTTTACCACTCAAACTCTGAATGATCCACTGCATGGGAGGTGGAGCCCTGACCCAGACAATTATTATGCCATTTTACCGATGATCCTAGTATAGTAACTAGAAAATTAGAGGTATTTTATAAAGGTTTCTTAAAGTGAATATAATTAATTAAGGAAACTGAAACTGAGAGATATTAAGTGCCTTGATATTTGAACATTTATAGAGAATAGGAGAGAGCCACAGGATTAGGAAAGGTAAATATCTTGCTTTTAAAAAAAATAAAATAAAAGCGACAAGAATAAAGTCTATAGACTATAGGCTGGTGAACTTGACTTTTGACTATTGGCAACATTCTAGAACAGACTGATGAAGATATGATTAGTGAAATCTAAAAAAAAAGTGGTATCAATCACATAAAGCCAGCATGACTTCAGCAAGAACATATTGCAGCTGGTAGGCACCTGGAGTCAGGACACCTGGAGTCGGTCCAGTCTCAGACACTACTTAGGTGTGTGACTGCAGACAAAGCACTTACTGTCTATTTGCCTCAGTTTCCTCATCTGTAAAATGAGTATTATAAGAACAACACCTACTTCTTAGGCTTGCTGTGAGGATAAAATGAGATAATATTTGTAAAGTGTTTTGTCAACTTTAAAGCACTATACGAATACTAGTTATGATTAAGAACAAATCATGCCATGGTAATCTTATTTCCTTTTTTTATAAAGTTAATAAACTGGTAGATGGGATACTTTGGATATAGTTTACTCAGATTTCAACCAAGAGGCTGGTAAAATGTCTTGTGAAAGTGTCACATGCTGTTCTTGTAGATAAGATGGAGAGATATGATAGTACAATTAGATGGATTTGAGTTTGGTTAAACAGCCAGATTCAGAGTAGTTAAAGCCTCCATGCAGAAACGCTGCAGAGGGAGAATCAATAGAAGTTGGCAGTGGATGTTTGGAGCAATGGGAAGAATCAAAGATAAACCACTTTGGGTCACTTGGAGTGAGAGCAAAATAGGCAAGTTAAGAGGAGGAACTGCTTTGGGGAGTGCAAGGTACTTGGGTGATGTCATCACATGGACCTATTTAACTTCAAAAGACAGAAGTCATGTATTTCAATTTTTTACAATTCTAACAAAATGATCCCAAGAACGTAAAAGATAAAGAGAAAGGTCCCATACACACAACAAATATCAGTAACAGCAGTTTTTATATCACCAAAGAAAGGAAATATTTATTAAGCACCTACTATGTATCAGGGACTGTGCTTTACAAATATTCTCATTTAATCCTTGAAACAACCCTGAGAAGTAGGTTTTATTATTATCTCTATTTTACAGTTGAGGAAACAGAGTCAGGCAGCATGTAAATAATTTGCCCAGGGCCATAGAGCTAACCAGATTTGAACCTAGGTTCAAACTCTAGGTTCAGCACTCTTCACTCTAGCTTCCCTGAGAATTAGAAGAAAAGTGGGTTGTCTTGGAATTGGGAAGTGGCTGAATATATTGTGGCATATGAAGGTGGTTGGAATAGTATTATGTTATAAGAAATGACTATTTACTTAAGTTTTCCGGAGAAACTTGGGAAGACTTGTATGATACAGAGTGAAGTAAGCAGAACCAAGAGAACAATTTACATGATAACTACAATGATGTAAGAGAAACAATTGTAAAAGACTTCAGAACCCTGATTAATGCAGTGATTAATCATGACTTCAGAGCACTGAGATGAAGCATGCCTCCCTTCTCTTGGCACAGAGGTGCCAGAGGATAGGTATGGAATGAGGTATGCATTTTCAGATGCTTCAATGTATAGAATTGTTGTGCTTAATTCCACTTATTTGTTACAAGAGAGCATTCCATCTGGTGGTGGGATTTAGGGAATGATGGTGATGTGAAAAGATCATCAGTCAAACTTTTTTTTTGTTTTAAGAAATTAAAACAAAAATGAAACAGACCCATTTTCCTTCTCTCGGATTGTTGATTATTTTATGATTAGAATACATTTCAGCCAGACAACAATATTCTATTTTTTTAACATTATCTAGGTTTTATTGTATTTCTTTTTTGTGTATTAATTTATTCATTTTTAGTTTTCAACATTCACTTCCATAAGATTTTGAGTTCCAAATTTTCTCCCCATTTTGTCCCTCCCCCACCCCAAGACGGGGTGCATTCTGAATACCCCTTCCCTTAATCTGCCCTCCCTTTTATCTCCCTCCCCTTCTCTTATCCCTTTCCTCCCTATTTCCTGTAGGGTAAGATAGATTTCCATACTCAATTGAGTATGTATGCAGACAACAACATTCTAAAGCAACACCAGGTGGATAGGTCTCCAGAAGTGGAAATAGATCTGAGGAATGGAAAAACACGATAGAATTAAAATGATTAAGAACACACAATAAATCACGTACTGGAAACCTGGACTGGATGATGAGAAACACACATAGCATAAAGGAAAGGCTATAAAATTTAGAGAGACAAGACTTGTACTTGAACCCTGTGGCTCCATCACTTTCCCTTCCGGGGTCCTCAGTTTTCACATGTAAAAATGGGCTTTAGACTGGATGCCCCCTGAAGTTCCTTTACCATTCTAAGGTTCTAGGAGTTTTTCTTTATTATTATTATTTTTTCAATTTAAAATTTTTTTTTTGTTTTCAACATTTACCTTCACAAGATTTTGAGTTCCAAATTTTCACCCCATCTCGCCCCTCCCCCCACCCCAAGACGGCATGCATTCTGAATACCTCTTCCCCTAGTCTGCCTTCCCTTCTATCTCTTCCCCCCTTCTCTTATCCCCTTCCCCTTCAATTTTCCTGAAGGGCAGGATAGATTTCTGTACCCCATTTCCTGTATTTCTTATTTCCCGGTTCCCTGTGAAAACATTTTTTCTTTAGACATGTGTTTTTAAAACTTTGGGTTCCAAATTTTCTCCCTTCCTCCCTCCCCACCCACCCTCATTGACAAGGCAAGCAACTCAATACGGGTTATATATGTGCAGTTATGCAAAACACTTCCATAGTAGACATGCTGTGAAAAACTAACTCTATTTCCCTTAATCCTATCCCACCCCCCCCATTTATTCTATTCTTTCTTTTGACTCTGACCCTCCTCAGAAGTACTTGCTTCTGATTACCCCCTTTCCCAATCTGCCCTCCTCTCTATCATCCCCCTACTCTCTTGTCCCCTTCTACCCCTATTTTCCTGTAGGGTAAGACAGATTTCTGTACCCAATTGAGTGTGTATGTTATTCCCTCCTTAAGTCAAATTCTATGAGAATAAGATTCATTCATTCCTTCTCACCTTCTCCCGTTTCCCCTCCACTGTAAAAGCCTTTTCTTTTCTGTTTTTTTTTTGTGATAATTTACCCCATTCTACCTTTCCCTTTCTCCTTCTCCTAGTATATTCCTCTCTCGCCCCTTAATTTTATTCTCCAGATATAACCCCTTCATTTTCAACTCACCCTGTGCCCTCTATCTATCTATCTATCTATCTATCTATCTATCTATCTCTCTATCTATCTATCTATCTATCTATATCTATATATACATACATATAATTTTTTTCCCCTCCAACTACCCTAATACTGACAAAGGTCGCATGAGTTACAAATATCATCTTTCCATGCAGGAATGTAAACAGTTCAACTTTAATAAGTCTCTTATGCTTTTCTCTTTCCTGTTTACTTCTTCAAGTTCCACTTGAGTCTTGTATTTGAAAATCAAATTTTCTATTCAGCTCTGGTCTTTTCATCAAGAATGTCTAGGAGTTTTTCTTGAGGCCCTTTCCTGCTGTAAGTTCTATGGCTCTAGTAACCTATTATTTCTCTTTCCCTTTGAAACTTGAGAACAAAAAGTTGTATTTTACTTGCTCCCCTAGAGAGTCTTTGATGTTTCACCACAAAGACAGCAATAGAATAAATCCCTGACCAGATTTGCTCAGGAATTAAGACTGCCTGAGGTCCCCCTCGTCCCTCCCCACCAGGCGCCTCAGCCCCAGATGTTGCAATAGTGAAGGGCCATGCTTCAAGGAATATATGTTTGACTAGGTAAACCTCAAGTTCCAAAGATGAAAGGTGGTTATTATTTGCCCTCCTGTCCTGGTTTCTCTAAACCTTTGGTTCTATATAGGCTTGTAGTGCTTTCGACTTTCAGGGAAGCTGGAAAGGCCAATATATTGGGAAACTGACAGCTTCTGCCAGGCTAGCTCCTCCTTCCCCCTCATACCTGGAGAGGGAGTAGGTGTTGTGGATATTGGCCAATCACGGACTGAGGCTGAAGGCATGTTTGTTTTTAGGAAGTGGCGTCCAGAAATATGACTTTGGATTGTCTATTGGCAGAGGAAGAGGAAGAAGAGAATGAGGCACTGAAGCTGCTATGTAGAATCTTTTTATTTTTCTTCAACAACTGAGAGGCTCACGCTGAGAACTCAATGCCCTGTAAGGTAAGTGCCAAACTCCCATTTAAAATGTTGGTTTTTTCCCTATTGTAAACTCAGAATTTAGTGACTACTGGGATATCTAAGTGAGGACAAGTTTGCACATGGATTTAAGCACAGTATGTAAAAGTCTGAGTGTTCCTGAGGGTGGGGGAAGACAAAACGCAGGAGAAGGGAGAGAGGAAGTGGAATCTTTATCTGGTTTGTCTAGGGCAGTGGTTTTTAAAGTGTGGTCTGCGGACGTCTTCAAGGTCAAAACTATTTTTATAGTAATAGTAAGATATTATTTGCCTATTAAAATACTCTTCCCTTTTCCAATTACATATTTGTTTAAGGCTGGAATTTCTGCATATACTTTAACCAGAACAACATATGGCAACAGATTGAATACAAAACCTTCTAAGAGAATCCACTGTCTTCTATTAAATCAGAAATCAAAGAGGTTCACAAAAATATATAAATTAATGCCACTCTTCTCACTAATTATTTGGGGGGGAATGTAGTTATTTTTATAAAACTGTTTTTCATGTTAACATGAAATAGGCTTATTATTGTTATTTTAGAATGAATTAATGTTTATCAGCTTTAATGCCTAACCTGGTAAATGTCGATATAACCCACATAAACAAAATGGGGGGGTTCTCAATAATTTTTAAGAGTGTAAAGGATTCTTGAGGCCAGAAAGTTTGAAAACTACTAGAATATTGTCGCTAGTGTTGATGTAGCTTGTTGTAATGGAAAGCTATCACTTAGTCATCAATTGAGGTAACTATCTGAACTTAGGCATCCCATTGTGGCTTTGAAGGTAAGCTGCTCCCACCCCCTCATTTTGCAGAGACAACTTGGCTTTACCCAAGTTACATGCCCACACATACACATACATGTATGCACACACACAAACATTTCATTGTAAGCTCATTGAGGCCAAGGAATACCACCATAGGTAGTATGCCCAGGTAGCAAATGGCAGTGTTAGGTGCCAGGTCCTTTCAAATCATCTCTCTTGGTCTTCCTTGTAAAATGAGGGAGGTCTCAAAGGACCTTTTCAGTCCGAAATCCTATAATCTTTATCTGGAGCAGGTAAGTGGTTGGGAACTCATCCAGACATGGGTATGTATACTGGAGCAGAGAGAATATTAGAACATACTGGGTGATTTCTGGTTAGAAGGCTCAACTTAAGAGTCAGGAAAATGCAAGTTTTAATCCTGCCTCAGACCCTTGCTAGTTGTGCGATCCTAGACAAGTCACTGCAGCTCTCTCAGCTTCAGTTTCCTCATCTGTAAGACAAATATAGTGATAGCACCTATCACACAGGGTTATTGAGAGGATCACCCAAGATAATAAATATAAAGTACTTTGCAAACCTTAAAATGCTATGTAAATGTCATCTGTTACTGTAGCTTTATTATACTCTGTCTCCAGACATATTCCTCTAAGAAACTATTATCACCATTAAAAGCAACATGGATTCAATTTGTGGGGCATAGCAATTGGCTAACAATAAGTTATTTGTTTATGATGATAAAGGAATGCAATTCATTAATTGAACTTAGCATGGTTATTTTAATGTTGCTTCATTGTGTCTATTCAATCTGTACATTAAAGACTAACTGATTGTACATTGACATTTAGTCAGCAATAAATATTTATTAAGTACTTATTATGGGCTGAGCATTGTGCTAAGTGCAGGAGATACAAGAAGAGGAAAAAGATATTCCTTGACCTCAATGAGCTTACAGTGAAATGTTTGTGTGTGTGCATACATGTATGTGTATGTGTGGGCATGTATGTGCATGCCTGTGTATGTGTATGACCATTGCATGTTTGTTCATAGTATCATTTGCTTAATTCCACATACTGGAATGTATCTTATTCCTCTGGAAGGAAGGAGTGTAGTAAGGGACTGAAATCACAACCTGTTTGTGTTCAATGTTATTTTTTGAAAGATAAAGGATGCTGGGTGTCGATCATGGTTGTTGGATCAACCAAGGTATTTATGCCTTTTGTTTAACCACGAGTAAACTTTGGCTGACATTTATACAATGTAGTTTGTAAATTCCTTCTCAATGTTGGAACATTTGTTTTTGTCCCATTTTGATCTGTAAAACACCTTCATTGACATTCTCCTCAGATGACTCCCTGGGATGTAGAGATGACGCTAGGCTCTCACATACTATGCCAGGGTGGGGGGTGTGGGGGGGGGGAGCGCAAGTTCCAGAGGCTCCTTCCAAACTGGAAAGGCTTTAAGTGTGGGTCCAAGGATGGATTCTATATCTGTAATACATGGACCAGCATTGTTAAGTTTAAGAGCTTTATCACCAGAGGGCTGTCTATCAAGTACAGATTTGTTTATTTATTTTTAGCCAGAGCCTCTAAAAAAAAAAACCAAAAACCCATCTACTAAAGTAGAAGGTATAGTGATGGTAGAGGCAGTGTGATATGATACACAGAGCATTGGACTTGGGTGTCAGGAAGACCTTGGATTTGAACTCTGAATCTTGACCCTGGCTATCCCTACCTCTGATTTTCAATACTTTTGCTATTGTTTCCTACTTTGCTTTTGACATTAAGATCTCTCTCTAAAATGAAAACTCAAGCATCTTCCTAGCTGATTGGATCCCCTTCCCTCTTGACTCCTATATTTCCTGGTGTTGCTCTCTCTTCTGTTTCTTTGACCCATCTATTAATCTTTTCTAGTTTGCCCCATACTCTTCCTCTGTTCTTTGGCCTAGAGCAGGGGTGGGGAACCTGCGACCCTGAGCATATGGCCCTGTAGGTCCTCAAGTGTGACCCTTTGACTGAATCCAAACTTCCCCATAATAAACGGATTTGTTCTGTAAAATGTGGGCTCAGTCAGAAGGCTGAACCCAAGGACCTAGAAGGCCACTTGTGGCCTCAAGGCTGCAGGTTCCCCACCCCTGACCTAGAGGAAATGAATCTAAATCTTCCCTACCTTCTTGGCCCAAGCAAGTCATCCCTGGCATCCTCTGTACTGATAGCAGGGTCTATATCTTTTATCAGCTTCTCTCTGACCCATACACTCAACTCACACAGGGGCCCCCTTCACTTATGTCCTTATCTCCCCCTCACTTAGACTACTGCAGTGGAAGCCTAGTAGAAGCCTTCCTGCCTCAAAGAATTCTCCAGTTCTAGGTTTTCCACATGTGTCAAAGTGATTTTCCTCAAGCACCTATCTGACTGCGTCACTTCCCTATGAAGTAGATGCTGTTACTATGTTGTCATTTTTAGGGATAAAGAACGCTAGCTAAGACAGGATGAATGACTTGACAATATCACACAGCAAGTAAGTATGATAGGAACAATTCAAACTCAGGTCTTCCTGACTCTGCGTCTTTGTTCACTCAGTCATCTCCTTAGTATGAGCATCATCATCTTTTTACATTGGATATTTCAGTGGCCTACTAATTGGTCTCTTTGCCTCAAATCCCCTCCTGCTTTTTCTAGTCTTTCTTCTAGGAAGCTTCTAAATGGTCTTTTTAAAGCAAAGATCAGAACAGGTCACTCTTCTACTCAATAGACTCCAATGGTTTCCTATTATTTCTATAAAATAGAAATCCCTCTTTGACTTTCAAAGCCCTTTACAACCTGCCCCAGCCTCATTTGGACATCACTTCCCTTTCCACTGATACGGAAGTATTCAAGGACTCGTTAATAGATGGTACTGCTGCCAATCATACTTAGCAATATGCAGACACATTAAGAATTGGTCTTTATTATGTATGCTCAGAAGACAGGCTCAGGGTTCTGAATTACCACTGACCCTAAAATAAAGTTTTCCCAAGACTTATATAGTTTCCAATTATATCAGAGAAAAAAAGAAGGTACAATTAGGATTTGCATTTCAAAGATACACTTGTAAAATTTATATTAGGCTAATGGAGTGAAAGGAGGTTTACTAGTTAAAAGATAACAGGAGGAAAACTACATCAGATCAAGTTGTAAATTGATCAAACCTAAACAGGAGATAGTCAGGAATTTATAGCTTACAAATAGTTATCTTAAAAGGAGCCAGAATTTTTTTTTAACCTCTAACCAGTTGATTATCCTGGATTAAATGATGGGAAGTCTTAGCCAAATACCACAGTATTAGGAAAGCCTCAGCCAGTTTCGGGATTTTCCTTACAAATAAAATAGCTGAGCTGGAACCAGTTAGAAAGGAAATATAAAACTTTTATAACACCACATTCTATGATACAGTGAAACTGGTTTTTTTTTTGTTCCCATCTCCATACCTTTGCACTATCTATACCCAATATTTGGAAAGCACTTCCTGCTCACCTGTCTCACAAAATCTCTTTCTTCAAAACATAGCTGAAGTACCACCTTCTAATGAAGCCTTTCCTGATAACCTCAAAGGTTGTCTCCCTCCCCCCACTTACTTTGTATTGATTCTCTTTATAATTCTAAATAAATATAATATATAATGTAATTATTATATATACTCATATAATATATGATATATATTATATCATGTTATATTATGTTACATTGTATTATGTTAATATATTTATATATTTGTGTACATTGTCTACCCTAATAGAGGGCAGGCTTCTTAAGAATAGGGATTATTGGGGGCAGCTAGGTGGTGCAGTGGATAGAGCACATGCCTTGGAGTCAGGAGGACCTAAGTTCAAGTCTGGCCTCAGATACTTGACACTTACTAGCTGTGTGACCCTGGGCAGGTCACTTAACCCCGTTGCCTAGCCAAAAAAAAGGAATAAGGCACGTTGCCAGGCACATAGGATCTTAATGAATGTTTGCTGATTGATTTATTTTCTATTTAATTTTTATTTAATTAATTTATTTTCTATTTGCCATAGAACCATCGAATTTTTTGTATTGAAATCTTTTAAGTTACTTTGATTGCCAAATATGTTCTTCCTTTCTCCCCTATCTACCAAGCCATTTCTTGTAAAAAAAGAGAAAAAAATCATTAAAATTAACCAATATATCAATCACGTCTGACAATTATCCATACCTGAATG